TCATGCCTCGGCACAGTCAATAAGGCTCCCTTAATCACTGACGGTCAGCTCGTCTCCGAGAGGGGCTCGAATTCTGCCGCCGCTCGGCTCGCCGGATCTGGGATCGGGGACTTTATGTGGCAGCGGCTCTGCGGCTCCGAGAGCTTTTCTGTCCTGCCTATGGCTCCGTACCTGCAGTGCTGCAGAGAAAAGGCGCCCCTTCCCCCACTCTGCATTATGACAAATCAAGGCAGGCAGCTGTGCCATTAGCACATCATAGCACAGTTAGTCTTCCATGGGAGAGGAAAACTCAGAGCCGAACGGCACACCGCTGCGGACCCGCACTAAATATTGACACGAATGCCGCTTCGCCAGAGCCACAGCCTGCTAATCAGTAGCCTGACTATAGAAGCTCGAAAAAGGAAACGAGGCGTCCACATTAGTGTCTCTGGAAGTCACGGAGTCTGCTGTGCCTCCAAACAGGGCACAACAGTTGTAAGGAGTGCAAATAGCGACGCGCCACCCTGACAAACTGGGATTTAATGGTCACCAGAGCGGAGAACATCCACAAGGATTCAAGCTTTAACAAACTTACTGTCAACCCACGTGGACTTTTAAAGCGCGCTCAGCAACAGTTGCTTTCCACTCAGTGTGGTGCTGAAGCACTGCCTCACACACGCTGCCTGCTGGAAGCTCCTTATTTATTTTAACCCTGATTTCATCTATTCACTGAGATTCTTAGCTCTTATTTGGACACAAGGGTTAAAAAGTTATGCTTTCAACTACTAAAATCCTGAGTCATGTGGTTTAAGATGCCAGAGAATAACAGAGGCTTCCAAAACTGTATGGAGTGTAATGCAGTGTCTCCTGCACTGCTCCAGCCCAAACTGTTACTGCACACTGCCGGTCAGTTGGCTTAAAGCAGACGCCTACACTTTACTAACAGACAGAAGAAAGACAAACTCAGCCTTCTGGAAATATTTAATTTAGCAAAACACTTTGTCACGCAGGGCGAGGAAGCTGCAGTGGCATCCATAACTCTTTTTGAGGTAACACAGATATACAGCTGGGAAGATACAAGCAGAATTTTTAAGTAGCCGACTGCAGTCTGGCAAGCCAAAAAGCTAGAAATAAATTGCCTTCCAGCATTGTATTCTTGTACTTGTGATGCTTTTTCAATAGAGGTATGGACTAAAGGAGCAATCCAATTCTACTAAACAAGTTCTCAAGTTTTAAGGAACAAAAAAGCTGATATTTTCCATCATATCTTTTGGAATGGTTCTAATTTTTATTAATGAGATACCAGAGAGAGCACCAGAGTAGCTTGAGTTGCAAGTTACTCTGCAACTAAAGAGTCAGCACAGTAGTGCTGCTGGTTTCCAACCTATTGCTGCATACTTCCAGTCAGCTGGCTGATAGAAAGCTCCTTTACTTTTCTGTCGCAAGAAAAGAGAAGCATGATCAGATAAACTGAGGCTGCTTTCATCTTTGTGTCACAAAAAGCAGCCAACTGCAGGCTGACTACAGCAGGAGATGGTAATTAGTTGGAGCTAATTCACATTTTATAGCAGCTCTTTATACTTGTGCCACTTTAGCATACTGGCAAATGGGTATAACCAACAATTAAGCTACTAAGGGATATGAGCATTATAGGTGTTATTGTGGATCAGTAGAAGGGCTTTGCAGCTCATAAAGGTAAATATATAAGATGCTTGGTAACAAAGGGGTATGAACTTTATTTTGAAATATAATTACAGATCTGAAATATTTTTTCAACTATACATTTTTAATGGTGAAACATTCACAGTAATCTCTAATGTGAAATGTTGTATTCCATATCATGACAAAATTCTTAATTACTGCTAATGCGTCTAAAAAACATGCAAAGGTAAAATATTTCTTAATTCAAAATATTTTGCCATCACAGCAGTCATAAGAATGCAAAGTTTCATGTATTTCCTTGGATATCATATTAATTTCTTTTTGAAAAGCGAAAAGTACGTATGAAATAGCGTCATATTTTTGACAAGAGCAGAAAAAAGAAAAAAAGTAGAGAAAAACAGTATTGTCTGTTTTAATGTATTTTGCTGCAGTGTGAAAATCTACATGCTATATATAATTCTGAGACACTTAATAAAAGTTCTTTTCAGAATAATCCTCAGTGTACCTTAAATGGTTTAAAGATTATTATACCCACAAAGTTTGCTCTTCTGAACCCCAGATCAATACCAATGTCAACATTATGGATGGATTTGGAATATATGATCAAAAATTGACATAAATTTACATTATATTACAGCAGATTTAGTTTTAATTCAGTGTGGGTATATCAATTATTATTTAATAAAGGGAAAAGAGGCTTACTGACATATACTGCAAGATTGCTAACTGTTCAGATAAAAGATATGGTCATTACTTCCAGGAATGTTTAAGAAGCATTGAATCTGTGAAAAATTATAATATATGCATTCAGCATTACATCATCCCAACTGTGTTTTAACCACTGTTTAATATGAGTGCCATGAGCATAATGTAATAAAAGAATAATATCAAAAATATGATTTAGTTTGAGTCACTAACTATTCTGATATGTGGATGAAACGTCTGCCACACAATCACAATATGTCTTCTCTCACAAACGCCAGTTATGGTTATAAATATAACCATTATAAACATTACAAAAATTACTGTTATGAACATAACCATACCTTGTTGGTGTCTGACCAGTTCTCTACAAATGAAGGTAACTACGAACAGAAAGCACAGAACTTATTTTGCTAAATTGTAGACAAAACACAACTGATCAATTTGGGATTTTTCCAGTTATTAAAAATGTGACAAATGATTTTCCATTCGTCCCATATGATCCAGGCTTAAATAATAAAAAACAAAACAAACATTACATATATAACCGCTTATTACAACACACCACTGTTCTAAAAATAGACACACACATGATGTTACACAACAAACGGTAAGATATGGTGTGCAAGGAGTTAACATAGCTAAAGTAATAGGGTGGGCTGTGTTTTCCCTGAGACAGTCGGCTCCTCCTTAGCTGCTTCTGTGAATGGGCCAGTAAGGCAGCAGGGTATGAATGGCGGAGGGATCTAATCGTGCTGCCATGTATGTGAGCTGCCATGCAGGTCTCTATTTCTCACCAGCGCTCCTTGAAGGGCTGTCTGCAATGCAGCTGTCCTGTGAGCCTGTAGTTCATCGTGCCCTACTTTATTCTGTCAATGCTCAAACACTGCAGCAGTACCTCTGCCAGCAGCTGCACACACACACACATACAAACACACACGCACGCACGCACGGACCTGCAAATACTTAATGGTTTTTATATGCATCTCAAAGGCCTACAGCAGGCTCACTGATACAGACATGAATTGTTTGAATGTCAAACTACAATTATAAATAATCCACATAAGTGGATTGAAAGGTATTTCTTTGCAAAACTAAGCACATAATTATGAGTCATGTCCATCTTAAAGCAATCAAACAACCAATCAAATTTTATCTATATTTAAAAAGCTCTTTTGTAAACAGTGCAGCTATGTGACGTTCTTTACAGAAAATAAGCATCCAAACAATTTACTTTAATTAAACAAAAACAAGAGAGTCTCCCACATTTCCAGCAGAAAGATGCACTTGCTTCACATATGGTAGTGAACCCAATAACCCCAGATAGGTTATTACATAGCAATACACAATGAAACACAAAAAGCATCACAACCAAATACCAAATATCAAAGACAAAGCTGCCAAAGAAGGGATGATATTTTTAAAAAAATTAGAAAATACGTAATAATAAAAAGTGAGTAAAAGCTAATGCTAAAAAGTACATAAATATTTACAGTGACTGATATAATAATCAGATGATAAATCTAGATAAATCAACTAAAATAATGGATAAAAATAGATAAATGGAAAAAACAAATGATAAAACAATGAAAATCAATTAAAACTCAGATGCAAGGTAGATGAAAACCAAAACAAGAGCAAATAACGGTTGCAAAATAAAATACATTCTAAATAGCTGCAAATTCTTATGATAAATGTACCACAGACAACAGATAAAACATCAGGTCAAACCAGCCAGAAAATGGCTCAGTAATAATAAAAAAATGTTGTGTGCAGTTGAAAAGTCAAAATTATTTGTTGTTGTCTCATATATTTTCAGTAGCTGTTCTTTTTATCCCAACCTTTTTGAAAACAGTAGAAATTTTTAAAAACAGCATGTGAACTACAACCTCAAACATCATCTCTATTTATGCATCATAACAAATAAAGAGCCAAATCAGTGATTTTATTCTTGCTATATGTACTTTTAAATATGACATGACCAATTAAGCATTTGTAAACACAGGTTGTATGCCAAACATATTTTATACACTGACAGTTCACTTAGCTAACAAGTAAACATCAATTAGAAAGCCCTCAGCAGGAGTTAGTCATTCAACCAAGCAGTCGTGGTTCTAGACTGTGAGAGGAAGCGAGAGTAGATGACAGACTTTATGCAAGCACAGAGAGAACATGCAGACTCCCTGCAGAGATACCCCAGACTGCAGTTGACTGTTCTGAAACAAGAACCTTCTTGGTGCAAGGCAGCAGTGCTGCCAGCTTACAGCCAAATGAAGGACAGATCTATACATTTATATTGTTCATGTCAATTTGGTTCTTAGCCAACAGGAGCAGCAACCAGTCTGGTCTTCAGCTGCTTCAAAGTTCGACATATTTTTCACTTAGAGATAATTTTCAGCACACCATTGCTTTAGAGAGAGATTACACGAGCTATAGTTGCTTTCCATTAATCTCAAACCAGTCTGTTCCCTCTTCTCTACCATCAACCAGGCATTTCCATCTACACAAACGTTGTAGATTTGTGTAGATTAAACTTAAATGGGAAGGTTTTAAATGAGGGTGTTTAAAAAAAGCAAAACAGAAAAATCTAAAATAACATAAAAAAAAATCTCCTGTTGCTGAAATGATGCAAATAGGAAACTGATAAGAGGACGTACCGTCCAGTGAAAGCCAGTCGTGCTGAGAGGATGGCAGTGATGGGAGAGCCCGAGCCTTGTACTCGAACACCACAGAACTGGAGATAATTTGATTACTGATGGCCACCTGTAGTGTCACCAGACCTGTATCGTGAGCTGAACAGAGAAGACATCATAAGACTCTGGGAGAGCATTTTCAAAGTGTCACTAATTCTTCAAATCTTTATCTGAAAGCGCAATTAAACATTAACCAACATGGATAGATAAGTCCATGTTGCACAACAGCAGATTTAATCATGGAATCAGAAAGGATGAAGTCATAAAATAATTAAAAAACTAAACTTAAAAACACATATTTACTAAAATAAGCTGATATTTAAAAAAATTGTCATCCAATAAACAAACTAAAAATTTCATACAGTCTTTAATAAAGTGTAGAGATTTGCAATAATGTTTCAGTCAAGACTTTTTGCATCAACTACAAATTACCGCTTTCGTTACAATATTGCATTAAGAAAGGGCTCCTTCACTTGTATCACAAAATACAAATAAAAAAAATTACCTAACATATTTTTATTTAACACTGATTCTAAAGTTTGTTTATTAATAACATAAAAACAAAAATAAAGCAGAAACTTTATCTATAATGTTAAGAAATGTTTCCTCTTTGCTACCTGGGCAGTAGCAGCGCAGCACCCCTGGCTGGATGAGCGAGGCCGGAACCGAGATCTGGTCAAACAAGCAGCTGTAATTTGAGCTGGCCTCCTGCCATGGACCAGTGATCAGCACCTTCACTCCACCCTGAAACATAGACGGTGATTAAAGAGGGCTCACAACAGAATTAAGTAGATATACTCGCACTTAAAGTTAATCTCCCAACTACAGCGAAAAGATGTTGAAACTCATGTAGGTGGTTAACCACTTAATTAAATTAATCTCTGCTGCCACCATGTGGACATTAAATGATATTTTCTCCTAAAACACCGTCAGCACTGACTCGAGGTGCTTTGGTGCCATCAAGTGGCTAAATGTTGGCATTACAATGGCAACACAAACCCAGTCGCTGTTTAAAAGCTACTGAAGGACATAGCTTGTAATAAACAAGAAAACATCAAAAACACTCTTCACCAAAGAAAACAATATGATGTTATTTTCCATATATTAGAACTTACTCACCTTTCAGTGATTGTTAAAGTAGTTGTACAATTTTACAAATCCAGTAAAAGTATCCAGTAAAATATCATGTTTGATTCTTTGGATTCCATATTTCGTGATCACTACACTATGTTATAGCAGCAAAAACATTTTCTTTTGTTAAATTGAAAATATTTACTAGTGTTTTTATTGTTATGTTATTTATTTCCACTGTTTTTGCACACAATTTTATATTTTCATCTGTGTGATGAAATCGTCTCAAATTAAAGGAGATGTTATAGTCAGTTATTTACCAAATACTTTTCAACTCTTAATGAGTGATTTATTGGGTGGCTACTTTTTAGTTTTACTTTACTGAAAATACATTAAAGTTGCTGCTTTTACTTGAATACTAATTTCTGGTAGATTACCCACCTCTGGTTTGAAGCCTGACAAGCAAAGTTATAAGTGAAAAGTTTGTGAAGTTATTGTTGAAATCTGTGAAACTTGGAGCTGTAAATACATCTTAATAACCAAAAGTTAATAGAACAGTGAAGAGTGGAATCACTCACCTCAGGATAGGACCACTCTGGGGAGTAGTCAGTGACCATGAAGAGGCGACTTGTGGCCTGTAACATCCCCAAAGCCCCTTGGGCAACAGCTGCAGAGACGACCTCTGCAACATTCATGTAGGACAGTGATCCAGCTTCTCCGGTGTTGCCTCCTGCTCCTGCACCTCCGCTTAGTGACTGAGGGCTGCAGCAAGGCTGAAGGCAGAGCTCTGAGGGGCTGTAGCCCGAGCCTCTGGCTCCTCCATCCTCCTGGCCCTGCTGGGGGGGCCCACCGGCAGGGTTCTGATTTTCAGCGTTGTGAGTTGTGACTAGCTGGTGAGCATACAGGGCACCTCCAGCAGACATAGTGGTTCCACTGCCATCCACTGAGATGAAGTCATTGATGAGGTCGGAGAACTGGTTTCCAAAGGATATGTCAAAGTGGTCCAGACTGATCTCCATGCCAGCTCCACCAGCTCCTCCGTTGCTAGCTGCTCCGGTCAGACCTTGATGGGCTCCCACTGCATTATAGAGTCCTTGCACCATACTTGTGCCTTGGAGGAGAGGCTGTAGCTGCTGGGTGCGGTTGCTACCGTCACTGTTTCCATTATGCATTGTTACTCCTTCACCTGTAGGTCCTGCCCCTCCGTTGCTACCATCTGCAGCCTGTTGCATGTAGTGCTCTGGTCTCCCTCCCTCTCTGTTTGCTGCTCCACAGGCCTGAATGTGATCCCCTGGCTTGAGGAGGTTCTTGCCACCATTCTCTGTGGCTCCAGTCTGAGCTGAGTTGACATTACCTGGTTGTTCTAGACCAACAACCTCTTCATGTTCTGTACCCAACCCAGGAAAGGGCCCCTGGTACTGCAGCAGCTGGAGAGAAGCCGCTTGGCCGGACCCCTCTGTGGGTGAACCTCCATTACAATTGGCCCTGTGTTGCGTCTGGCTCTGGTGGTGATGATGAAGGTGGCCATTGCTGGAAGGGGAGTCAGTTTTTACCACTTGCAATCCCAGATAAGCTCCAGAGTCATGGGAGTTGTGCTCCATAAGATGTGATTTCTGGCCCATGCTTGACCTGGCCTGCTGCGTCTGGTTGGTTTGAGAAGCATCCTGAAGGAAGAAGCTGGGCGAGCGATTCTGGTGTTGCATATGTGGACTGGGAATGGCCTGGCCATAGCTCACTGTGGTAGCACTAGAAGTATATTCTTGCTTGGCATCAATGGCACTAAAATCCATCTGCTCCAAAGTGGTGCTGGGACTAAGCCCCCCTCCGGAAGGAAGCAGTGAACCTGTTGGGGTCAGACTAAGACTGCCCTGACCTGATCCAGCACCAGATGACACCCCACCACCACAATTCACAACTCCTCCAACCTGGTAACCACTTTCTTTCATCTGCTGCTCAAATGATGTATCTTCTGTCTTGATGTTCTTTACGAGAGCAGAGCTGAAGGGGTAGCTATTGTCTGACAAGTTGGGAGAGCGCTGGAGACTCCCATTGGTGCTACTGCTGCCGCTGGAGGAAGAAGATGTTGAGGAGGAGGTGCCCTCTGTCTTCATTGCGCTGCCGCCGTAGGTCTGGCCCTGTTTGGGGTTGTTCAAGAAGCAGTCAGGATCAAAGTTCATATTAGTCTCTGGAATCTTGATGGTTCCAGAATCGAGACTGCTGGTTAGCACCAGTTCTTCAGACACACTCGCCGTAGACAACATGGACAGACTGTCTCCTGCCGTGGTAGTTCCAGGTTCCCCTACTCCTCCTCCTCCGGGGAAGGCAAATTTGTGTCGATCAGCGGTCATGGACAGCACCAAGCCCTGTGAAGTAGCATCTGCACCCATCAGGTGAGCATTGGGACCCCCAGTTGGAGACATGCTATAGACAGGTTCTCCAGTGACCTCAGACATGAAGACACTCTGGGACAGGCCAGACATGACAGACGGAACATGGGTCATCCCTGTCACCACGGGGCTGTCTGCTATGTCTGGATCACTGTTGAGGCCACTGCTGATGGACACTGGGGAGTTCTGCGTGGTGTCAGGAACCTCCACTTGGTTGGTGGACGACACTTCTGTGCTGTTTTGGTGCAGGAGGACAGGCTTGTGGACTTTGCCGTTGCGTTTCTCCCTGGCACTGCCACCACCTCCTCCTCCTCCCCCAGAGCTTTTTCCTCCACCATGGGCACTGTGTTCGGTCTTCCCTTCAGACACATCATTGTTTTGGACCTCAGAGTGTGCACTGCTGTATCCACCAGAACGGGGGTCCACTTTAGGGGAGATGATGCGGTGTTTGCCGCTGTTGCATTTGTGGTGTACACTGCTCCCTGCACCTATATAAAGAATGACAACAAATATATTCTTTTAAATGTCAATTAAAAAATACAATATATTTGAACAAAAAATGGGAGTGTTTTTAATATTCAAGAATTAGTAATAAGTGCGAACATGACACAGCTAAGTTTTTTGTAAGTATATAACTATTGGAGGGTAGCAGAAGCCTTGCATAATTTGCCTTCTTGAAATTGAAAAAAAGACATTTAAGTCCAATTCACTTAGAGATAGCCAATTTATATCACCAAGTTTATAATAGATACCTTCAGTACTTTGAAAAGTACACTTGTGTTCTTGGTATTTAACTCTGGATTCAAGTTAAAATTAAACTTCCAAATGTGTCTGTGTTTGGGTCCCTCACACCCACAATACATGACCAAAACATTAAAACATTTGAAAAGAAGGGGAACAGCTTCAATAATATTGAGATAAATATGTGTTTGTTTAAGGGCAAACACCTTTGCCTTCAAAATGAACAAATACAAATAGAAAATGTTGGGCTTAATCGACATGGCATAGATAATATTGAATTGAATTGGGTTATGTTATATAGATGTTTTAAATTGAAAGCAATCCAAAAGTTTTTCAACAAACTGTGACACGGTACATATTTTGTTGTTTTTTTTCTGTTAATTTTGTTTATGAATTACAGCTAATGAAAGACTGGTGTACATCAACCAATAACAGTTTTCAAATGGCGAGATAGCCGCAAAAAGAAAAAGGTGCAAAAGATAAAAATGGCTGGTCATTTGCTCAGAAGTGTCTTCTCAGAGGAAAGCAAAGTTTGCATGTCATTTGGAAATCAGTCTGGCAAAACATGGAGAGGCACTGACTCCAAGTTGCTTGAGATTCAGGTCAAATGATGATGACTTGGGGAGCCATGCCATCTGCTGCTGTTGGTCCACTGTGCTTTCCTGAGTCCAAGTTTAGCGCAGCCATTTACCAATAACATTCTGAGCACTTCCTGCTTCCCTGTGTAGAAATGCTGATTTCATTATCTGACAGGACCTGACACCACCCTGTGCTGCCAAAAGTATCAAAGATACTTCAAAGAAACACAACTGATAGCTGAGACGCCGATCAGAACGCTTTGTGAATGTGGTGCAGAAACTACATGGAGGAGAATGTGAAGGAAGTTTAATCTCATAAATGTTTATTGATCTTTATGGGGAACCTGAGACTGGGAGCATATTAAATAGATAAGCTTACAGTGCTGTTGAGAAGACCGGAAATATGGGCAATAAAATGTTTTCCCATGACATGACTGCAGGAGCACACACAGATCCTTTGTCGATGCCTGTATGTCCAAGTATCTAGCTTAGATTTTAAGTGGATAAAGATACTGTTGATTGGATGTTTTGATTTTGTTCTTAGCTGAACTTTTTTTCTTTTTTGTGTCCCTTACACTTTTGCTACTTTTTCTAAATTAGCAATCAATTTATTGTAGCACAATGACAGATAGGGAAGACAAAATATTTTTAAAGCATTTTGTCATTTACCATGAAATAAATGCATATGACAATACATTTGAAACTTGAAAAATAAATGATAAAATTCAACTTATTTCACATATTTAGTTTTCAAACTTTTTAGAACAAATTTTTACTAACTGGATTGGCAAAAGAATTTATATTGCCTTTTTTTTCTTTGTAAAGAGTTTTAAGACGACTTTGGTTGTAAATTGGACAATAAAAATAAACCAAATAAAACAAATTGGATTGTGAGGAAATGAGTTGGTATCTTTCTGACCTGGTGATGCAATAGGCTACATAATATGCCTGGTTATTTAAGACTTTAAACATTCTAAATAATTTGACATGTCATATAATTATCCTCTCAAAATGCTGTAGAACCTTAATAAATAATTCTAAAACAGCACACTGATATCTTCCTGATCTATTTAACTATACCACCAATTTTATGATCTAATAAAAAAGAATCAGGAAAGTCCAGAGAAATTTTGTAAACGGACCTGAAATTGCCCATGAATAAATATGTTAATTTAAGTTCTCTCTTCGAGGCTTAGAGAGATAAAAGATCAAATGCCCAAATAAGTGCCGTAAAATTTAAACCAGCTGGGCTATTATGGAAATTACCTTAACATGGATAACCGCATGTAAAAATATTCGGGTGACACAACTCTGAGTTGTGAAAGACCTCAGTCACTTTGTCAAATTTATCACACCAACCGTTGTGTTTAGACGTTTCTGCAAATTATTTTCTTCATAAAAAGTTACTGCCCCACCCACTAGCCCTTACCCAGGGTACCCGTGCAGAGGCAGTTGTGAGTCCGGGGAGGTGGCTTAGTTTGGTGGCTGTCCAGAATCTGTTGCACTAGCTGCTCCACTGAGAAACCAGAGCTGCTGTTCCCATTGCTGCAAGTCCACTTGATGCCATGAACTGCCGGGAGAGAGGAGGAGACAGAGACGTCAGCCAGCCCAACAGATCACCAGCCACGCCAGCCTTCCACCCCCACCCACTGCCCCTGTCTGTCTGTCTGTCTGTCTGTCTGTCTGCTGGTAGTCCCAATCCTCCAGGGAGTACACCACTTTAAAAGCACGCAATTGCAATAGCAAAGCAGAAAAATTCAAATGTCTAATTTTCCACAAAGGGACAAATCTCCTTATCCACGTACGATGTTTACATTAGAGATGTTTTGCGTGTTCTTCTTTTAAATGTTGTGATAATGTTTGAGCAGGTTTATTTCACCAATTTTCCTTTATAATCACAGATCTGATGGGAAGTTCAAATATAATCACAGGGATCAATGTTCTTCTGTATTTGAATGGGTTTTTTTTCAGGTGTGCAGTCACAACAATTTGATAAATGAACATTGAATTTCAGAAACAAGAATTTGGTTCATAGATTAATTGGGAATTTTCTCTAATCCGAAAAGGTTCAAATATTTCCAATTAATGTACTTTAGATGGTTGCACCTCCACCACATGCTTACTGTAGTTCTCAACAAGATTTTATAATAAATAACTGGATATTTGACTCCTATTTTTGGTAGAATACATTTAAATCAGCTGGTTTTCTGGTAAAGACCTGCATATAAACACATTCTGCAAATTTCAGTAGGACACAAGTTAGGATATTCTAGAAGGTTAATAACAGCCTTAACAGTTTTAATAGGTAATTTGTATCTTTGTCTTGTTAAAGCAGCCTGCTTTGCATCTTTATTTTGTGTAAACTTTCAAATTAAGAAGCTGCTGCTCAAAAACTGACAACAAACTTGACTGAATTTCAGGTTCCCAAACAGACAAACCAGAGGTCTCATTAAGAAGATCTTTTGCAAAAAATTAGAAAATGATTGAGTGATGTCGCCAAAGTGATATGATTTGAGAAATATATTGAGACTTTTAAACATTAGAGCACTTCACCAACTTTTAAGAAAGGCTGTGATTTCTTTATTAAGGGAGGTAGTTTGGCTGCTAGAGGAATTGGTGTCAGACAATAAGAGGAATAAAAAAAGTGAAGGATTATTTTCTGATCCTCCTCAAATCAATAATGACCTGATTATTTGTCTCACATCTGTGAGTTATGCATGGTACTTTTGATACATGTTATCTATAATGCAGGAGTGTAACAGAATGATTGGTTTCATTGTTGTGTTGCATCAGGATGAGGTACATTAAATGTATAAAAAAATGTGCAATCCAAAGTGGTCAAATATAATAAATTAACCAGAAGATACATGGTAACCATTTTATTTGATACTCTTTGCTAGTTCAAGGTTGGATTCCCTTCTGAACTTCTTTGATTCGGCAAGGCAGAAGAAACATTTCTGAGATTTTGCTCCATGATGATACGATGGCATCATACTTTTGATGCAGTGAAGTTGGCTGCACAGCCACGCTGAGAATCTCCCAGTTCTCCACATCCTAGACAGTGGAGATCTGGGTACTGTGGAGGTCACTGGAGTCCAGTCAATTATCATGATCATTTTCAAGAAACCACTTTGAGATAATGTGTGACACAATGCATTATCCTGCTGGAAGCAGTCATCAGAAGATGGGCACACTGTGCTCGTAAAAAGTGGATACAGTCAGCAATAGTAATAGAGTAGGATGTGGCATTTAAATAATGCTTCATTAGTATTAATAGGCTACAGTGAAAATATTCCCCAGACCATCATCTGTTATTATGAAACATTGGTGAGCCTGGGTAGCATTTTCTGTACTTAGAGCCACATGGGACTGCTGTGGTCCTTTGCTGCTGCCAATCTGTTTATATGTGAGTGTAATTTTCAATAATTACACTCACATGTGAATATGGCAGGAAACAGATGCCTAATTATACAACTGTATATGTCTTATAAAACCATTAGTAAAGCCTCGTGCACAAACAAGAATGCAGTAAATAGTTTCTGGGTGGTAAGTTAGACAACAATACATTTGTCTTTTCCAGCAGCCATTATGCAGCATATATAGTGATAAAAATAGCTGACCAAACATGCTGTCCATTGCTAGGTTTGGTTATTACACACGGTGTGTTGATTATGACGTAACAATGAGGAAGTTTTTGTTTGGGCTAATTTTCCAGACACCAAAAAAAATTAACTAATTTCCAAAACAACATCTGGGTGTTTTTTTTATAAGAGCTTGAGATGTTTCCAGAAGCAGCTGAGACCCAAATGAAAGTATAAATGTAGTAGGTCCCATTTAAGTCAATGCTAGTTGGAATGAATGTATATATTTATAATTGCATAAATAATTCTGACTGTGTTTGGATTAGACATAAATCTATAATAATCTACAATAAGCTGGTTATTCAGCCACATTCTCATATTTAATTAATCAAATTAGTTTGCTGAATTACCATTTCAATTTGAAAAAAACAACACAAAACTAAACAAAAACACCCTGTTCATCTAAATCACATAAAGACAAACCTTTTTGTGCCATTCCTGGCCATCATGAGGATATACAAGTGTCACACTGCTTAATTGAAATTCTGCTCTTTACTTTCCCTTGTCTCAGTGTTGGACTTCCTACTACAGGATCCTGCATGCCAGTGCTGATGAAACTGACAAAGAAACTTGACCTAAACTCAAACTCCACCATGATCTGTGACTTTTTTCTTAAAACCTGTGAAGAGGAAAATCACCAAGAAGCTGCCGCTGCACCCAGGGAGAACGGTAGCCTTTCTCCAGGAAAGTTCACCTCCCTCCCTCAGTCACACCTCAGTGGTACCTGCTAATACTTTCTATTGCTCCACTTGTCAAGCAGACATGATTTCTGATGGGACAGATAGTGCTTTTTAGTGGTCATAAAAGCCTGGTAGGAGACACCACTGAGTGCTACAGTGCTCAGGCTCTCAACCGGAGAAAAAGGTAATATTTCAGAGCAGAAGCATATTTAGACTATCAGACAAAATCAAGCCAGCTTTAATTTAAGTCCTCTACACTTCAGCAGCTCTTATGGTTAAATAAGAAAGAGAAAAAATATATAAGGAAAGAAAAACGCTGAGAATTTGCTGTTTGCATTTGAGATGAAAAGGACAAGAGAATCTGGTAAGAAGATGGGGGTACTGTGGATTAAAGATAAAAATTGTTAAATTAAAGTGGAAAAACGTTGGGAAAAACATGACTGAAGACTGAGCCGGGGATCAAACTTGAAAGCTTTTAGATCTTCTGCTAGATTATAAGCTGTCACCAGCAGATGTCTGTAGAGCCACTGTGATCAAGCAAAGATTACATAATACCCTGACAACTCATACTTGCGTGTTAAAAAAATATTATGAAATGAAATTAATTTACACTTTATTCCGGAGAGACTGATGTGAAAAAAGGGATAACATAAAACATAAAAGAAAAGATTCATCTAACATCAATTTAATTGCTGCACAAATAATTGTTTGTGTCTGGAGATTTGACTAAACGACGAGGCTTCACTCGCCATTAACCTTCTGACAGATGCAAGGCAAATTGTACAAATGAGTTGATGCTAAAATCTCTAATAAAGATGTAATGAGGATAGCAGCACAACCGGAAAGCTTCTGCATGTTCACTGAGAAGCTAGTGAGAATGCTGCAGGACAGAAGAGTGTCCTTTCTGCTAATCTGACTCTGACAGTGTGACAGCAAGAGCGAGAGCATAACACAACAAAACTCCATCCACCAAGCGAGGCCATGCCTTTGTCTTAACAATCTCGTCTCCTCTCCTTCCTAATCGCTCATGCCAGATTGCCACAGTCCTCCTCATCTAGACGAGTGTCACCCCTGAAGGCTCCGGGTGGCTGATGTACAGTTACCCCTGTGTCTGCCTGTCTGCTCTTCTCACTGACTGTTTAATTCCAAAACGGACATGACAGGAGCAGCGGCACTCAGTTTAATCCTGGGCAGAACCAGCAGAGAAACAAAGCAACAACCAAGTCAGATGATTACTCAGATGACTGCCTGCTGTCATAAAAACGGCACGACCTCATCGTAAGGAACTTTGGGAACAAAATAGAAGAGTTCCCACAGGAAGGCGTATTTGTCCATTTTGCCTCTTTTGTCCAAATCTTCTACCCTGAGGATCAGCCTTCTGCCTGTCAGAGTTTGTTAGAGCTGCTGTCAGTAAGGCCGGGGGGCGTAGATGTGCAGTGTTCGGTGTTTGTTTCATTAGATGCAAAAAGTAAATCCAACTGGCTGTGTTGGAACTGTGGCCTGATTGAGTAGTAATGTCGTGCTCTTACACTCCGCCCAGTTCCTCGCTGTTAAAAACAGGATGACGATGCCTGTTTTTAACAGAGCTTGAGCATTTTAAAACCTATTCATTTAGGTCACATAGAGGCAAATATAATCAACTGGTTTTCATTTTTTCTGTCAATTATTTTGTGGAGTAATCATTCATGCCTCAAATAAGAAAATAAAATTTGACAAGAACAAGTGCCATAACTGCAACATTATGCTCACAAAAAATTAAAACAAGTAAACACAAATCTATCAATACTTCCTAAACATTTCTTATATTTTGTGACATTAAAACATCACATCCTAAAATATCAATCAATGCATTTGATAAATCAACACAAAGTAGCCAGGAAGAGTTAAATGGAAAAAAGTTAAAACATGACTCTCAAAATGTCAATACATTTTGTAATTACAACTGTAAATATTGTGGGGGTTGTCCTACCAGTTTAGTGCATTTAGAAACTGAAATATTTGAAAGTTCTTCTACAGTAAAATATGAACCAGTAAAGTGAAAACGAGGTTACTACTTGAAGTTTTATGAAGAATATTGCTTTTTGTGTTGCAGAAAACTATTCCAAATTTAAATAATTCAAGACAAAACTTGAAGTCTAGACAACTAAAAGTCACTCTGGTAAAAGGTACTTTGAGGCAAAGTTAGAGCTAAGCTTCAATTCGAGACAATGTAACGCATGGCTTATTCACAGTGTCCTTATTCAAACTTTATCGTCGTTTGGGGTGAGGGTTGCTATCTCACATAACCACTAGATGGCAATGTTTCTCCACGAATGAGGTCGTGTCGGCGTGCTATGTCTTTCAGGAGGAAGGGGGAAAAGAAAGAGAGTAGAAGAAGAAAGACAGGCAGCAAAAACAGAAAGAAAGCAGGAGAGGGAATTCTTGCTCTGTATGTTGCCCCTCTTATGTTGCCTGGCAGCTAGAAGGCATCTCACACTCAGACACTTTGTCCCAACAACTGCTAAAGTTAATGACTTCACGCATTATTGCAAATGGAGCTTGATTTGTACATTAAGCCACAGATGTAATGAATATCGTGGATCTTTGCTGCTCCGACGCTGTCCTGAGGTAAGACTTTATGTTGAAACGTCTTAAAACTAATGCAATGTTGAGGAGGACAATATAGCCCAGATTTCACTGATGATAGCTTGGACTGCCTACTCAGTATGCAGCCGGCATATGAGTGCGCTTATAAAGCTGCTGACACTTTCCTCTTCACCTGGCCACATCACCAATAATTGGCCATCGGAATATCAGTCACAGCTTCACTGGCCCCTGACAGACAACCTGGAATCACAGTCTGGTTGTTAAAAGGTATCTTACGGGAACTCTGAAAGTTTTTTACTGCCTTCACAAATTCCCCTTTTGGATATTACCATCAGCAGACAAAACCTTGCTTTTTCCAAAACATTACCTCAGTCTTTGCCCAGATGTATGGTCGTAAAAACACACATTGCTGATCTTTGGTACGGCTAATAACAAAGGGAAACAATCCAGTCAGGAAGGAAGGAGACAGAAAGAGGATGGGAAAGGGTGGCAGGGGATTTCTGGTGAGTCTAATATTCTTGCTCACATGCACTAACATGAATCAATAACCAGCTTGTTGCCCCTACTCTGCCTTGACTGCCTCTATGGTCCAGACAGAGGGGAGCTGCTGTCTCAGCCTGGCCAGACGGTTGCCAGAGGTCAAGGGAACAAGCTGAACTATGACCCAGAAGCAGCAGACAGCTCCGGGAAGCGGATACTGTATTATAGCAGTCCAGGAATACTGGCAGAAGATGATTGCTAGAGATAGGTGCTAAGGAAACTTACTGTAAACTTCAAATTATGAGCTCCTCCAAAAAAAAAAATAAATACAAAGAAAACAAAAGAGACTCTGTAAAGCGGAATAACATGCATCCATGAAGACTGTTGTAGTCTATTTTACTAAAGTTTAATAGTGGAAGTTTAAAGTCAAAACAACAAAATGAAAAACAAAAGTTTTCAATGCAATTTTTCAAATACTAACACATGGGCTTTAGCTGTCCAATCAGCTCCTCTTTGGTCCATTTGGCCCATTCCTTCTTGTCTGTATTGATGGAGCACAGGATTGGTCCACATGGTTTCCCGCAATCCTCAATAGCTGGAACATTCAAATAGTGGACAAGCACAATGTCTGGGTTCTGTAGAGAAAACACACAAAAAAAGCAGAGAGCAAGTTAGACGGTGTGATTAAACAGGCAGTCTGTTTGTTTAACAAATTAAAGATTAAAAACAGTGTAGGACTCTCCCATGCAGGGGGCTAGGGGTAACCCTAATCCTGTAGTAGCAGTGCATAGTTAATTCAGTACAGCTATGAGTGCCTTTATGTGGGAAAAGCAAACTGGGTTATGTGAGGTAAAGATGGCTGAGCTTAAAACACTTCTGTGGTAAACCTCACACCGACAAAACAACCCAAGAACAAGAGGAGGAAATGCTCAAGCCCTCAAGCCAAGCGGCAGAACATATCAGGGATCAGAAATTGACTGTAATCTCACTCATTATGTGTCTGCCCATATTTCTGCATCTCAATACACAACAGTGCATATCAGCAGGTGAGCTAATGCGGGTGTGTACACACATTTGCATGTGTGTTAATTACAATGTGTGTCAGCGTAACACACTTATGGCATTTTGACAAATCCTCCCACATAGTGTGATGATGCCCTCAATTAACTCTGCCGGTATTTACCAAGTCAAAACTCAACAATTTACTGCATGCAAATGATCACTGGGTTATGTTGGCAAATTTTTCTAAATTGACAGAATATGAATAATGGCATAATGTTATGCTGGTATAAATACCATAAAATTCCCTTTTAATTGCCCGACACTTACACAATGTCCCTCAAATAGTTTTAATAGTTTAAGTGGTTTTATCAAGACATTCTGACACAACAGGGCCTTTGAAAAATTAAAATGAGTTTGACACATTTCTGTACAATCTTTCTTACAACCAAAGTTTTCCAGCCTTTCCAACAATTTCTCAATATTATTTAGGTCTAGCATATGAGCCTGATTTAATTTAAACCATCTCCTTGTAGATCTGGCTATACGTTTAGGTTTTTAAGCTCCTTTTAAAAGAGGAACTGCCACCTGAGTCTGAACTGTTTTGGACTCTAACAGATCTTCGTCCAGAGCTGCTCTGCATTTGGTTCCATCCTCCAGCCGCAGCTAAACAAAACATCCCCACAGCATCACGCTGGTGTGTTTATGGTGATCTGCGGTGTTTGTTTTCAGCCACATACAGCATTCTGCTTACAAACCAAAAATTTTAAACAGTGCTTTCTCCCACATATTTGCTTTGTACCTTATTACTCTGTTTTGTCAACAGATTTTCCTGTAGGATATTAGGATCCTGGCAGTACTGTTAGAGTCTCAATGGACTTTGTTGCTGGTTCTTCGATTAATGGCGTCCTTGGCTGTCATATCTTGGCAGGTTTGCTGTTGTGTCATACTTTTTAATTTTCACATGATGGATTGAACTGTGCTTAATGACATTTACAAAGCTTGAAATATTATCTCTTAACCTGACGTTGCTCTAAACCTTCCCTTAACTGCAGGAATGTTCTGTGGTGTTCATAGTGTCTGGTTGTGTTATCAGTTGAAAAAGAAATATAATTTTCCTTTTTCTTGTACTCCTCTATTATAAACTCTGTTGTTTTGATCAGTAATTTTTAACATATTTCATAAACACGTGGTTGATATTATTTTGGGGGAACAAACTAAAGCAGATTCTCCTGTTTATGCGAGTCAGCAAAAAGACAAAAACGAAACACTCAAGTGTGCACACACTTAGATCTAAACAAGATGCAGCAATAGATAAACCAACTTAGACTTTGATCGAGAAAAATCTTGTGACAATGTGTGTGTGCGCTTAGGTGTGTGTGTGAATGCAGTTTGAGGCTTCATCAGTACTAAGTGGCAAATAAATCACAGTGTTGCTACTGTAGGGCTGTGCTCCCTCTCTGTGTGAACCATTAATCTGAGAAACAACCCCCACCTTCCGCTTCTCTGTTATATCAGACAAGGGGTGTGGCTATGACGTGCAGAAATACTTCAATAAAAACATCTTAAAAAACACAAACAAGTCCCGCCTCACTGTGATGTGTCTGGGATTCTGTAGCTCAGTGGCTTGGAAAGCAGGCTGAGGTAGACAGATGACCTTTCCCACAATTTCCCACCACGAGCTGGAGCCGGGCATATCAATGTTTCATTTCCCTGCTTTCCGTGTCCCCTGTCATCAGTTCGGACACTAGGTGATGACTGATGGCCTGATTGGCTGGTGATATCACAGACGGTGTGCGGTGTCCCCAGATGGCAGCGCCAGCTGTGTCAATAGCCAAGAGATGCCCTCAATCTTTACTTGGACTGAGAATGTAGACAGCTATGTTTAATTATGAGCGGTTATGAACGCGTAGATGCAGGTGGGGTTAGAATGCACACACGGACACATGGCACATGTTTCGGCATGTGTAAAAAAGAAGCGGGAAAGCACAAAAACAGACGGGAAAGGATAAAACTCATTAGCATAGTGTGGAAGAGACACTTACAGGACACAGACACAGGCTAGTTGGAAACAATCATTCACATGGTTACACACAATTTCCTCCATTCAACACCCACTCTCCCAACTGTTTCTACCTTTTCACCGGGAACAACACAGGTATGCATCCACACTTGCAGAACTCGACACAAAGAAACATTCCCATTTTGCATGCCAGTGTTTCACTCTTAACAGTCTGCTCTTGTTTGGAAGCCAATGACGGAGCAAGAGGTGCATGACGTCTGCAACTTTTCACTCTCTCTCAGTTACTTCTCTCTCTCCACTTACTTTACAGCATATTTAACAGTTCTTTTCCAACTCAGGTGCACTTGCATGCAGAGACGAAAACAACACAATGAAAATGTAAAGTACCACATAAATCTATCAGGATAGTAATTTAATTTAATTTCCTGCTGGCTGCTTTCTTTTTCCACAGTGTAATACCAGGAGTTGGTTCTCCAAGAGCAGAGGGAAAAGGCTGAGGGGGAACTTTTTGCCTGGATAGTCTTTTTTCAGAGAAAATGAGATCTCATTAACTTATTGATTAATTGTGTAATGTAGTCTTTTGGTTGTTTTTTCCCCTCTCATTTCCCATGTGGATTTCAGGGCAGCTTTCCAGCCATGCTTCTGCATTGCTGTGGAGAAGCGGGCAACAGTTGCAGGAATTTGTAATGTGCAAGGATTATAAGAACATTTTTCAGCATTTGTTTATGCACCTAAAACCTTTTGATTGTCAACTGACATGCGAAGCTTTTATTGACAATAGTTCACTCATTACCAATGACCTTAAAGACCAAATGTCATCCCATTCTGGAGCGAGAAGATGTAAAAATGAACACGTAAATTAGACTTTTTAGCCACACCTCTCTTAAATCAAGAGAGGTGTGGCTAAAAATGACAGACAGGGAGGAACCCCATCTATTTGAAGTTAAATTTTGGCAGATTTGCCTATCCATTGACTTTTCTTTGTGGAACTGAACTCTCATTTTCATCCATCATCATCTGCTTATCCAGGGTCGTAGCAGCAATCTGGGCAGAAGGCCCAGACCTCCCTCTTTTCAGCCACCTTGGCCGGCTTCTCTGGGGGAAATCCGAGGTGTTTCCTGGTCAGTAGAGATACTTCGTCCCTCCAGAGTGTCCTGGGTCCTTCTGGGTCTCATCTCGATGTCTACAACACCTCACTAGGGAGATGTCCATTTGCAAAGCAGCCAATCAAGAACCATTTATTTTACTTGATGTTGATTGGTTGAGCCACCAAGAGTGGAGATAAAGAAGACTGTGGATGTTAGCTTCTATGGTAATGTCATGCTGGTTTCCACCGTGTGCACTAATGCATATTACATGTCTATAGATTATGTTGTCAATATTAAGTTATTAATATAAGTAACACTCCCAAAGCTCTCAATGTAATTCAGTTCAGTAGCAAATAGTTTTTTTTCTCAGTGTCTACTATTCTAGCAATGCAGATGTTGGGCAAATCGCAAGAGATTTGGAACAGAACTTACATCTGCTTAAATGTCTACAGAATCGAGTTTTATTCAGTTTTTACAGTTTTTGTCAGCAGCGGTTATTCATGCTTTGAAACTCATAGGTAGTGTGCCTGTCTCCTAGGTCTCTCAGACATTTCTCCTAATGTTCTCCTCATCACTAGATAAATTGCCGTATAAATCATGGAATGAACTCCCATTCAAGCTAGAGACCGGGTAATGCACTGATGTTTGAGTTTGGTGTAACGACATCACTCTAAAAAAAAAGTAAATAAATAAAAACGATGATGTATTTGCCTTTAAACTTATTACTGCCATGATCCAGAGTGGTTCCTGTGCACAACTCCTGCACAGGATCCATGATCTTGTCAGAAAACACAAGATCATATCTAGTTACACACAGCAGTATTTTGCCTTTATTCATTAATGCAAAGATAGAGATTTTTACACTCACACAGTCTAAAGGATCCCAGTATTTCCTCAAAGCAATTAGCATTACACGGCACGATAACTTACTCGCCAACCATTCATACAAATTAAAGCCTGAATATATCATGTATGCTTGTGTGTGGTCAAAATTTCAATGTGGCTTGTGCTGTGTTTATGTTTACTGCACCTCCCTCGAACAGATGGAAAGATGTTGAGTTAATTACTAGCAGAGTCTTGGGGAGTCAGCCACGGGGGCGGAAGGCCTGCTGAGTGGGTGGTGGTATGCCTTCTTGCCCCTCCTTTTCATCAAATCTTGCACATAAACACCAGCAACAAATAACAAAGTCAAGGATGCACATTTAAGAAAGCCCACATCCTGAGTATGCTGAGATTTTCTGGAGTCAAAGACAAAATGCGCCATACACATATGAAAAAAAAAAGGTTGATGTGTCAACACTTGCACACACATTCAAAAACACACGCATGCATGAAGATATGCAAGACATCGCCATCGCAACCGAAGGATAAAGGTGCTGTTGTAGCCTGGCAACAGGTTTCTCTGGCACCCACGCACTTGAAGGCAGCGAGAGCGCCAATGATCTCTCAGTGACTGCCTACCTCGTCCTGGAGTCAAACACCCTGTTTCCACTCCCCAAAAACGCAAAGTGAGAAGAGGAACATA